CTTTCCTTCCTTCCTCCTTCCTTCTTTCCTTCCTCCTTCTCCTTCCTTCCTTCCTATTTCTTTCCTTCCTTCCCTTCTTTCTTTGCTTCCTTCCTTCCTTCCCTGCTCCTCCCCTCCCCCCCTCCCCTTATTCGACTCCAGGCAGCCGCTGACCCAGATGCAGGGTTAAAAATAAGCTGAGCTGCGGCTCCTTCCCTTCCAGGACCCCAAGTGCTCTTTCCAGTCAAATGCACCCGCGAAGGGAAGCTGGAGTGTTCTTTTCTTTCGCTTCCAGCTTGGCCCCATTTCTCTCCTGACTTTCGCGGCCTTTTCCTGGGATCGAGCTGCCACCTTGTTTAGCCGGGGCTTGGGACCTTTTGGCTTGCACAGCAGGGCTGGACTCTTGAGAAGGTCACTGGTCAGTGTCGCTGTCCCCGCGAGTCCCCAGAAAGAGGCCCTTGGAGAATGCCTTAACTTTTGCCCTTTGGGGAATTGTCTTGTTGGGCGAACCGAACCAGACGGGCTAGTTTAAGATTCTCTGACTGCTTTCAAACCCAGAAAGGGAGTTAATTCCAAAGCCGGTTTGTTTCTTCTCTAGTCACAATCGCCTGCGGTGCTTTCCAAATGCCACCAGCAGGAGGAAGAGAAGAGAAGAGAAGAGAAGAGCCTTTCCTTCTCCATAAATATTTGGCAGGATGCGTTTTTTTGGTTTTTCTTTTCCGGCTGGCTGGAGTGTTTGTTTCCCCTGGGAGCCTTTCCTGGACTTGCTGGTTTCTGGGTTTGAAACAGCAGCTGAGAGGCTCTGCAGATAAGGCTGTTTTGTCTGGACAGGCCGGTTCCAGGTTGAAGGCCGCTTTCCAGAAACGTCAGGAATTGCTCCAGAGGCAGCTTGCAGAGGTGGGATTCAGCAGGTTCTGACCAGTTCTAGAGAACCGGTAGCCGAAATTTTGAGCAGTTCAGAGGACCAGCCAATACCACCTCTGAGTGGCCCTTCCCCCATCTATATTCTCTACCTTCTGAGTCCCAGCTGATTGGCTGGGACTTCTTTCATTGCCCTGCAAAAGGAGCGGAAAAGTAGGTTAGTGGGGTGGGGAGGGGGAGGGGATTTTGCAGTGACCTTCCCCTGCCACGCCCACCAAGCAATGCCACGCCCACAGAACCGGTAGTAAAAAAAAAATATATTTGAATCCCACTCCTGGGCAGCTGGTGTTTGGGAGAGCCGGCACAGGCACTGGGGAGGCAGCCCCCCAACCGGGCTTCTTTCTCCAAAGGGTTAGGGGCTCCCGCGATGGGCGCAGAGGCTACGAGGGGGCCCGTGAGGAGGCACTTTGATTGCTGTGTTCCTGGGACAAGTGCAGGAAAGAGGCCCATTGTATGTGCTCCCTCCAGCCAGGCCTCATCAGGCGGGGGGGGGGGGGGGGGGGGGGGGGGGGG